CGGCTCTGTCATCAACAGACCAAGGTCCAGGCTTGCCCGATGGCACTGGAGGCCGTCACCGGAGGCCGGCACGTACTTCCTCTCCTGCCTTAGAGCCCCGACACTGCGCTCCACACACAGGGGCCACGGCTCTCCCCACACCTCAGCCGTCTCTCCCGCATCTGCCTGTGGGGCGCGCTATCTGCACCACTCTCCCACTTGGGGGACAGTCCCTTCATCCCCTCAGATGTCCTCCCTTCAGGATGCTGTGCCTGAAACCCAAAGGCTGCTGTGTGCAGTTCCCACAACCTCCCAGCATCATCCTCCCTGGCACGTTCTGCTGAGAGGCTCTCTCTCATCTGCTTCTGAGCAGATTGTATGTTAGCGCAATCAAGTGCACTTCAGGCCAATAAGCACAAAATAGCCTGAAATTGTTATGTTGAGAGACAGTCGAGGAAAATGGCCTGGTGATGACATAAGCAGACAGTGCAGTGGTGATGCCACAGCCAGGGAGCACTAAGGGTCATTGTGGGACCAGCGGTGGGGAGAGAGGCAGGGGACAGCTCCCCCCTCGGAGCACCGAGAAGGAATCAGCACAGCTGACACCTGGTGGTAGACATCTAGCCTCTACCTTTGTCTCACATACTTTAAGCATGTAGCTTGTTATTGCTATGTGCCATCGAGTTGCCCGTGACTCACAGCGACTCTGTGTACAACAGCTCTGAACCCTACTCTATCTTGAGCCAGTCTCATTGTCCCTTACACACCTACTCCCATTACCCAAGCATAATATCCCTCTCCAAGGACTGGTCACTCCTCACATATTACATCAGATAGAGCTTCAAATTCCTTGCCTCCAAGGAGCAGCCTGGTTTCACCCCCTCCAGCACGGGCATGTCTGTTCTCTTGGCGGTTCATGGTATGTTCAGTACTCTTCTCCAGCACCACAGCTCAAAGGCATCAATTCCTCTGTCATCCTCTGTCTTTGTGCAGCTCTCTGATGCATAACAAATTACTGCGAAGACCCAGACCTGGTTGGCAACACACCTTAGTTGCTGGAAGAGGTTACCTGTTGGGAAGGGACATCATACTCAGGAAGACGGAGGGATGGAGATGGCGAGGAAGGAAGGTCCTCAATCAGGTGGGTGAGGCCTGAGACATGGTGACGGCCGCAATGGGCTCGAGTGTGTCAGAACTGAGGATGGGGCGATCAGATCTGTTACTCACCGGGTCACTATGAGTCATACTCGTCTTAACAACAAGAAGGCTCCACACAGGGAGTCAAAAAAGAACTGGCACCTTCAAATTCCAGCGCCGGTGAAAATGTCACCGGTCCCGCGGACGCCGGAAGAACACGGCAATCTGTCTTGGAAGATGTAAGTGAGCACACATGCTCCTTAGAAGCTCAGATGATGAGACTCTTGTCTGACACACTTTGGACATGTTACCAGGCGGGACCAGCCAGTGGAAAAGGACACTGTGTTTGGGAAAGAAGAAGCGAAAAACCAAACCCTCTGTGCCCTCTGATCCATTCTGACACAGTAACTCTTTATGAGATGGGACAGCCTCATCAGACCCTGGTGGCTTCAAACCACCGATCTTTCAGTTGGTAGTCCTACACTTAACAGAAGGAAAGGGTTCTCAAAAAAAGAGGAGGACCTTCAACAAGGTGGACAGACATGGGTGCAACAATGGGAACAAATAAATAATGACCACAAGGACGGGCAGTGCTTCTGACGTTGTGCACAGGCTTGTTCTAAGGTGCTATCAACTCTACAGCACCCAAGAGCAAGAATCAAAGAATTGCTAACCCATCACTTTCTGTTCTTATAAGGTAGCCAACCAGCAAGGGAAAATCCTTGCACTGAACCCAAATTGTTACCAAGGGTTTCTCAGGGATCAGCCTCCTCTGTTACCATGACACCTAGGCTCGCGCATCTCTCTACCCAAGGATTCTGACTCAGCTGCTCTTGGTGGGACCCCCAGTGTCGTGATTCTAAAGTCCATTGCAGGCTGAGGCCTGAGAGAGCGCCTGAGGCCTGAGGAGTAAGGGCTGAGGTCTGGACTGGTTTATCTGATTCTGCCTCGATTCCTCAGAGGGCTTTGCAGAAAGAAGCCTTCTGAAACATGGTATCGTGATGCGGACCACCCAGGTCTTGAACCGTAAGTGACTCTGAGAAAAGCTTTTGTTATTTTAAAGGCTCAGTTCACACGCGGATGGCTTTCAGGTTTCTGTGGGGATGAAATGAATGATTATTACAACAGTCCTGCTATTAACAACACTCACTGCCTCTCCGGTGAACTACCTGAGAATGCCTCCATCACCGGCTGATGACACCTCCCGGTGCCCACGTGGTCAGAGCGGAGCTGTGCTCCACAAGCCTGCCTGCGGCTTCTTCGTCGGAAGCAGGCCACCAGGCCTCTTATTTGAGGGGCCTCTGGGGGGACACAAGCGGCCAATCTGTCAGTTAAGAGCTGAACGTAGTAACCATTTAAACTACCAGGCTGTCAACCTAGGGACAATTATTATTCTTCGTTTGCTAATGAGAAGACAGAAGCCCAGCAATGTTAAATAACAGCTAGTTAGTGAGAGAGCCTGGATTTGAACTTAGTTGCCTGGCTCCAAAGATGCTGTATAACAGTCATATATAAAACACACAAGATGAAAAACAAAGAAAGTTACTGTTACTATTGACTGAAAACTCTCACGGAGTTCCTGAAATTCACCTTGTGATTCTGACACTTTGACGTGGAAGGATTTGTGCACTATTTTCACCTACTGGAGACTGGAACCCCAAGCACTTTCTTATTGACGTTAAGCCTGAGCTCAGTTTTAAAAGTGAAAGAAAGAAATTAAAAGGAAGATGGCAGGCTGCTTGGTGGATGTCCTGGTCACGCAGGCCTTCACAGGAGCAGAGGGTAGGTGGCCGGTGTCTCCTGCTGCCTTGGAGACTAGACACCTTCAAGTCCACCAGCACAGGCAGGGCAGACCGCTGCTGGGGCGGGAGGCGGGCTTCCTGCGGCTGCACGGGCAGTCTAAGTGACCACGTGGGGCGAATGTCTGAAGCCCCTGCTGTTGAAGAGGCAGCCTTACTTTGCTGACACCCCCCTATGGTGCAGTTTCCTTACGGGGAGATACAAAGGACTGGGATGTTCCCAGACAGCATGTAAAATCAGGACGGCCAAGGGGGTTCAGGGCCAGAACCCTCGCCTTCAAGCAGGAGCTGTTCTTAGTTGTCGAGTTGAGTACGACCCACAAGGACCCTATGAACCACAGATCTGAACCCTGTCCTCTCCTGTGCCGTCCTCACTCTGTGCACCTTATGCCACCACCCATCCGCCAATGGAGGCATGAGCATTGCTAGGATGCTAAACAGACGTCAGTGGAGAGTCTAGAATAAGAAGGACTAGGAAGAAAGGCCTGGACACCCATCCTTGTACATTTCCCCATAAAAAGTGTGGAGCACAATCATCTGGTCCTGCTGTGCATCATGGGATCACCAGGAGTCACGTGCCGGCTGATGGCAGCAGACAGAAGCAGCACTGACAGCCCGCTCCATGATCCTCTGTCCTTGAAACCAGAGACAAGTGACCTAACTCTACAAGGAGCACCTGGAGCAGGAGACCACAAGACTAGTCCTTTGCAGACACCCCAAAACTCACCAAGGAAACATGTTCTTAATAGGGAGAGTCCATTGCCAGACAGGAGGCGCCCAATAGTGCAGTGGCTAAAGCACTCGCTTGCTAAACAGAAGGTCAAGAGTTCAAGCCCACTAAGTGTTCTGCAGGAGGAAGATGCAGCAGTCTGCTTCTTAAAGCCTCGTCCTGGGAACTGCATGGCTCTGTTCTGAAGGGCCCTAAGAGTTGGAATGGACTGTGGGTTTAACTTTGCATTGCCTGTGGGGCTCTCATGGCCTAGTGGTATGGAGTTGAGCTGCAAACACAAAGGCACTTGGTTTGAACCCACCAGATGCTCTGCAGGAGAAACATGGGCCACATCTCCTCCCGGGCCATTTATAGCTTCTGAAAACCCGCTGGAGGGTCAGCGATGAGGTGGTTCCCACTCGAAAGCATGTAACAACAACAACAACAACAATAGACACTGACAGGACTTTAGCCTTTTGTAACCATGTGATTCTGACCCACAGGGATTCCAAGGCTGTAAGTCCTTAAAGAAGCAGAATTCTACATCTCTCTCACGGACTGGACAGTGAGTTTCAACCTTTGGCTTTGCGGCTAGCAGCCAAGCACTTAACCACTGCACCACCTGGGCTCCAGCCCCTGGAGGTCATCTTGTTTGGCAGGGCAGAGGGTCAGTCATGGAGAGGCGGCCAGCCTGGGGCTCTGACACAGGGACAGTGAGGACGGCGAGGTCACGGCAGGAAGGGCAATGTCCTGTTATTGGGCACTGGGGAGCTGCCAGTTGGAACCGACCATATGGCACCTTATGCCATCACCAAGGGATTTGTAAGGACCATCAGATGGGTCGCACTGTGGCCTCCAGGCCTGAGGAAAGCCAGTTGCACGCCCTTCCACACACATGCAGGCTTTCCTCGGGAATTCCCTCTGCACACACTTCGCTGTAACTGGAAGAAAACCTCGTCTGGTCACTCACACTAACGTGTACAGGACTATCTGAGAGGCTAGCTGGTGCTTCATTCTCTTAATCCTTCAAGGACGGGGTAAATGGGGGGCACAGAGACAGCAGGCCCTGTCTAGGAAGGTCTCCTTTCACCCCCAGACACTGTCCTGGTTCAGAGAACGTGACTTCCCATCACAACACACCACGAGCTGTGCTCAGAGCCATGTGCCTGCTTCTCCCGGCACAACTGGGAACAAGAAACGAATGCCACCTCCCTCCTTGGAGCCCTTCAGCCGGTGGGGGGTCAGCGAGCATCTCCCCGGGTGGGCTGGTGAGTGGCTCATTAGTGCTTGTAAGTGCTCAGTTAGCGCCCACAGACGAGGAGGAGGAAGAGGAGGAGGAGGAGGAGGAGGAGGAGGAGCGGCTGCAGGCATCCTACCATGTTGCTCTGTGACTGGGTGGCCCCATACATGGTGACGCCGTTGGAAGGTGCTGCCGGCTGTGGGGTGTCAGGCTGGATGTACCCCCGTCTGTCAATCAGGCTAAAGGAAGAAAGAAAATAACACAGGAGAGGAGACTGAGCAGAAGCTGAAGCCGCGCTCGGTGCCACGTTCCCCACCCCCACCCCCAGGCCCCTCCCTGCTCAGAACCTCACGTCTTGGAGTCACGTTAGCCACCGCTCAGGCTCACGGCTGGCCATTTGTGCTCTGCTTACGTGTTGCCAGCTGTCCCTGCTTCCTCTTCTCCAGGCCACATACCTGCCATAACTGCGGTCCCCAGCACCCCAACTTGGTCTGCTAACCTCAGCATCGCCACCTGGTCCTCTGGCCCCAGCACCCTTATATGGTCTGCTGTCCCCAGCTTCCTCACCTGGTCTGCTGTCCCCAACACCCTGACCTGGTCCACTGTCCCCAGCACCCTCACCTGGTCTGCAGTCCCCAGAACTCCTATGTGGTCTGCTGTCCCAGCTCCCTCACACGGTCCACTGACCCCAGCACCCCACCTGGTCTGCTGACCCCAGCTGGTCTGTTACTCATAGGGCCCTCTGGTGGTCTCCCCTCCACCAGCCTCTTCTCTGTTCTCCCCACACCCCTCCTGAGCTCACAGGTCCTCCAACACCATGTGACTTCCAACCATCCTGTCTAACCTCAGGACCTACACTCCCTGTGACATGGGCCCCAGCTTCCTCGCTTAGCACCCATGTTCAAAGGCTCTGTAAAGCCCCCAGTGCAGGAACACAGTCGCACTATGTCTCTGGCCCCTGCTGCTCTCAACAGCTGCTGCCCTTCCTTCCCCTGCCCTCAGCCTCACCTTCAAGGCCGGACTACAAAGACCCCAGGACTGTCTCATGTCTCCAGCCTGCCCTGCTTCTGATCCAGTCCTGTCCTTTCTACACGTCATTTCCTCCACCCAGTGCCCAGCCCAGGGCCAGTGGGGGAGGGCGACTGAGTGACCTCACTGGGGCCTCAGAGCACCTGGGGCTCCCCAAAGCCAGGACACCCCATCCAATGGTCACCCCACCACAGGGGCACCCTGTCACATGGGCACCCCACAGGCTGAGTTTTCAGTTTCAGCCAGCCTTTTCTCTCCACACTAGCAGCCGGCCATGCTTATGGTCTGTGTTGCTGACAGACTCCACACACCCGTGAACCAGATACGTGGACGCCTGTTCTTCCAATGAGCAAAAATGGCTTCTCTTCCCTATTTCCATGGTGTAAACTTTCCTTCCTTCCTTCCTTCCTTCCTTCCTTCCTTCCTTCCTTCCTTCCTTCCTTCCTTCCTTCCT